GTGCTTGTGTGTTTTGGGGGAGGGGTGCAATTGGGAGTGGGGGTGAGCCTTCCCTAGCTCCTCAGCTCCTACGCCTCTTAAACCATGCGGGATTTCATTTACAATTTGGAAGAAAGATTCGGTTTTAGTTTGTCCAGATATGAACGATCCCCATCACCGCCCATATCAAGTATCAATTACACAGTATTATGTTTGGTTGACAGGACAAATGTGGAGGTACTGTCACCGACACCCCTTTCTTTGTGGCTTCTGTGGCAGGTATTATTATGGGGGATGTTGTGAAGTCAAAGAAATAGGTAGTAAGGGCTTAGAAGATATCCTTAAAGAATGAGCACTGTGAAAAACCACGGTGACTTGCACATAAAAAGAGTCACGTTCAAGTGAGGGCTATGTAATACTTCAATACCGATGTAAATCTCCCTATTTCTCCCTATTTATTATTCCTTTTGGATATCAAGATTTGTGTTAGAAAATGTTTATGTAACTGCGACAGTTTTGTCGTAATGAAGCTATTAGTTATGATGAGGTCAGAATTGTTCTAAAATGATAGATCATTTATTTCACTCTTATTAGTCCCAATTAAATCAGTAGTAGTCTAATGTAAATAGATACTGAGTCTGTTTTATATCTAGAAAAACACGTTTAATATTTCAGACCAACATATATTTTCAATGAAATTCTATAGCCTTAAATGAAGTAGCGCGTATTTTTTCTGAAGGTTTATACCAGTGTTCAAAGCTGTTCTCTCGACGCATATCCGTTACGCTAAGAACGTTTTAAAAGCAAATGTTTGTGAAACGCCACCGAAACCCTGTCTTCTGTGTTAAGCAGCAGGTGCTCGAAAATTATTGATTTCAAATAAAAGACGGAGAGGGAAGTACAGAGAAAAGAGGGGCGGAGGGAGATGTGTATAGATATTCTCCCTCTATCAACAAATAACCTGATCGCGGAAATGGATACTACATTAATTGGGAAAAGGTTTATAAAAGAGGCAAATGGAAATGAAGAAGGAACACGACAAAGTCGGTTATACGATAGCCTTGGTTCTTCTCAAAATAACTATGCTGTTACTGGCTGGTCTATTTGCAGAAACGTCTTAGAGTTAACGTCTACAGTCTAAGAAAAAGCTATAAAAGCGGGAGCAAGGTAGAGCGAGGTTTAAACATTACGCAGCTCTCGACAAACAAGAGAGAGCGAGAGGTGGAGAGCACAAACGCTGCTGTCGCAGTAGCCGATGACTTGTCGGCGAGAGGCTCGCAGGTGACAAGAATGTCACTCGCCCGACTGTGACAAGGGCAGGACCTTACGTGCCGTAGTCGCTTTGAGTCGTAATCCACGTCACCAGTCAACCCGAACTCGTGTACTCTGAGGACGAGGTACACTTGCCGCATGCAAATTAGGATAAAAAACATTCTATTTAAACTCGCTCGGTCAATTTTGATGCTGTTTATCATTGTATACAGCCTTGCAGCAGGTTTGGGAGCTCTAGTTTGTCCTGTGTCCACAGTTTTAGTGTACTTTAAAGGCGTTGTATTATACCTCCATGCAAATTGAGAAAAAGGATATTTTTTACTAGTTTTAAAGACGCAAGAAAGGGCTTTTTTACTGTGAGTTACATGGTATTTTGACATCGGGGAAAGCATTTTTGATTTCAGAGTTCACATTTTTGTCATCCGTTGGCAAACAAGAGGGAAGTATTTGTACAAATAACTGTAATAACAGTGTCAAGAACTTTGCGGATTAAAAATTCGGTAGCTGGAATAACATTTGTTTTGGGAGCTCATATTTTTACCAGCTGGGCTAGATCGTGTAGCAGGCTTTACTAACATTCTGAAGCCAAGGAGGCAACAAAATCAGGGATTTTCGACATTCTTGGACGTCGAATAACTGTTGGGATTTTTGCGTGGCCTGGGAAACATTGTTTGAAGCAAGATGATCAAAGTGAAAGACTTGAAGCAAGTGAGGGATAGGACAGTGCAAATAGAATTCACTGTGGACAAATGTAGTAGGTGTTGAAATCTCTTTCTCTCTCTCTCATTTTTATTTATCTCTCTTTCATTTCTCTCTCTCTCTTTCTCTCTCTCTCTCTCTCTCTCTCTCAGGGGCGGATTTAGGCCGTATTTATGGGTCTTCCGGAAGACGGTCAGATTTTCAAGTTAATATTGAAGNTCTCACACACACACACACACACACACACACACACACTTCTCTCTCTCACTTTTCTCTTCTTCCTCTCTTTCTCTCAGTCCCCCTATCGCTTCTCTCTCGCTGATGCTGTATTAGCCACTTTACTATCATCGTCCTCAATTCGATTTTACCTGCAGAATACAATAGACACTAATGTCCTGAAACTGATGTATTTCATAGCTTAATTCGCCTGCATTTCTTAGTATATCGGTCTGATCAGGCAAGCGAATTCCACAGAGATCGTCTGCTTTTGTTTTCCTTAAACAGGAAATAAAAGGAGCATAATCGCTCACTATGTGTTAGACTGATAAGGTCTGTCATGTTACCTCTTTCTCAATATTCTAATAATTGCGTTTTTGATATTTCCTTAAGATTTTGTGTAAGGGAGAGATATGCATGATTTAACTTGCAGAATATACAGTAGGAACAGTAGGAAGAACATGGCAGCAAGAAGGCGATAATAGATTGACCTGTCTACTAGTAATCCGTTATATCAATCAGGCTGTATTTTCATGCCTAATTGCTGCTAAAAGAGGTGGGGTCGGAGGGGGGTATAATAGCGCATGGATCTAGATGCAATACGAAAGATCAAATAGGAATTAGGGGTAGGAGGGGTAAAGGGGGTACCATAGCATAATTGCATTATATCAAGTCCGCTTTTCGTCGCACGCGAGGGGGGGGGACTAAATAAGAGGACAGACAGACAGACAGACAGACAGACAGACAGATTAGTTGCAGAGTATGTAAAATCGGTATGTACTATTATGAGGACATTTCCCTTCAATATCTTCAGTGTGGGGGTCAAATGAGACCAACGCAGTAGGTTTTTTTTACATTTCCCGAAAGCTCTGAATTCGTAATTTGTAGGTATCTTTTCCACGTATCAGATATACTTTTAGATATATTTTTACCTGGACAACTAAAAAGGGTCGGATTTTTCTTTGCTTTCGAGGCCAAAATAGAGAGAATTCGTTTTGATGTGTCCGTGCGCATTTCGTGCCAGTCATCGCTCTGAAGTTTTACCAGCTGCAGACAATGTAGCGCGCATATTTTCATGACACCGTCAAAGACAAGACGGCTCCCATCACAGCGACAGGACTGCAGCTATGGTAATCCTTGAGGAGGAATAAATTTCGTTGAAAAAAAAAAAAGAAAAAAAAAAAAGAGACGAAATGTCGCATGTGATCATTTTGATCTGTTTTTGTCCTGCCAGCAGCCTACCCAGTACGGTAGCCATTGGTGAGGACCTTAATAGTAATCATGGCCTGACATCATCAGGGAAAAACGTCAAATGACCCCTTCTTCTCAACACCATCTAAGGCTTGTTTTTTCTCAAAAAGGAGAGACAAAGAGAGGTGAAAATAGAAACAAAATTCAGGCATTAATTCCTTCGCTGACATCATGGCGAAACTATTTCCAATTACGACCCGGCTAACAGGGGCTCATTTCACACTAGAACTTAAATCCGAAAGTTGCGCTAAACTTTGAGACTAAATTTCCAGTCTAATATGACCCAGGGGACATCAGGAGCAAACCACTCAACTAAGATTATTGCTGTCTGTTTTAAAACAAGACCAATAGATACTTTAGATCAGTAGACTACTACCAATTTATCATGAATTAAATTAGACCAAGATTTTGGTTTAAATTTGACGCACAACTTTCGGTCTTAATTTGTTTCTTGTAAAACGGCCGCTGGGCTGTTCAGGTCACGTCGATTCTGGTCATACGTCACCCAAGTTTACGTCTAAATATAAGGTCATCTACCTGGGCGTCGCCTGTACAGAACGTCACGTCGTAATGGTCAAAGCAAGACATGTTCAAAAAAAAAAAAGTAAATTAGGACCGGGAACAGACTAATTGACGTCATCCGAGGTAGAAAATTGCGTAGGAACACCTATTGCGCCTTCTTTAATCCAATTCTAAGCACACTGGTTTTCTGATGAGGTTACTTAGTCAATTTCAGATCTAAATAGGTTTGTTATGATTTGTTTTTAGTTGAAGGTGACGCACACACACACACACACACACGCACGCACACACACACACACACACACACAGGTTAGGAATAGCAGTTTGAGATGCTGTCTTGTAACGAAATAACCAACATACACGTCTTATTTGCATCAATCTTGAGTTCAAGTAACAATAAATCCCGAGGATATCGATAATGCTCTTGAATTTGAACAAGTTACGGTCTGTCGAGGTAACGTTTAGTTAGATCTAAATCAGACGACCTTCCCACGTAATAATCTGATATGTTGTGAAACGCAGAGGGCTTCTTTTATTTTCTTTTTTTATTATTTCAATGCTTCATCAAGTGAGGGGCGTGTGACATCTTTCCCACGGTTATATCAGACTGGGATGTTTGTTTGATGACACAAATGCGGTCAATGACAATAGAATTGCTCGGGCAAAAATCTCAAGGACGACGGCTTGAGGTGCAGATTTAGAACACTGTACAAGTGGAAGGTGTAATGGAGACGAATTCGATTTCGCAGCAGGTGGAATAGGGAGTCATGACGGGGAGAAGGACGGAAGGGGGGGGGAGGGAGGGGGCGTCTCCACCTCCAAAAAACTATGGAGATATGCTTTTTATCAATGAAGACGCACCAAACGAGATGTTTTTTGTTTTTGTTTTTGTTTACAGTTAGCACCCTTTCTTCCTTTTCCTGTTTGGTATTTGAACTCTTGGTCAAGCAAGAAGGACATTTAGGTCTTCATATTTTGTTTTGAGCAAACTTCAGCCAGAGAAAAATAATGGGGGAAGGCAGGGGCGATTTTTCTTTATGCACCCTGAATGAATTGAAAAAGGTGATTGTAAGCACATTTTCATCATCAACATGCGTACAGAGTTGAGTTTCCAGTGACCTGCGAGCTTCAGGGTGAGAGAGAGAGAGAGAGAGAGAGAGAGAGAGAGAGAGAGAGGGGCGTCAAATATTCAGTGTTGACAGGTTTTTGCGGTATTCGTTAAACTTGATATCGCCACTGGGTGTAAAATAACATATCGGTTTCTTGACAACTGATCTGTCGCCGCGGGGTGGCACCCTCGTGAGGGATAAAGATGGTAATTCAAGACAAGCTTAGGGCGGAGAATTAAAACATACTTCAAACGCCTTCAGAGTTTATTTTCTTTTATTCATACTTGCTTTAGTAGCGATATCTGTACTTTAAAGTAAAAGTAACTACATGTAGTAAACCTCATTAAAACTGTTTAACTATCAAAATACTGTTCATTTCTTGTGGCCAAAATAATATGTCTTCTTCAAAACAGACTTATTTCTGCGACAGCCTCAGGCACGTTAGGGGTTTAAAATGTTCGTGTGAAGTGTTGACATCTCTTGAAAAACATGGATGCTCTTTTTTGTCACAAATAGTCGCCTTTTTGTTGGACAACAGAGATCAGATTGCTCAATTTTCAACTTCTGTCACTCTCAATTTTGGAAACTTGATAGCAAAATTATCCCCCTCAACCTATAAGGCGTGTTAACGATCTCTTCTAAGCTGGAAAGAGCGGGGGAGACATTTGCCGGGTTTACCCAAATTTATCAGACTGTTCACGGAACATAGTAATTCGAACCAAAATGGTACATAAATTGTGTATACGTTAATAAGCTATGCATTTGGAATGACGAGTAACTTTTAAAAAGTTTATTAAGAAGCCATTTGTCTCGCTATTTAAATTTTGTACATTTTCATCTTAACACGACGATATTAAAGTCACGAACCAAATCCAAGAAGATAAAGTACTTTGATTTTCTGCAATCCTGGTATGTAATCAGCGAGCCGCTTCCGTGAGTGTAAACCTGCCTATGCATCCATCCCATTGATTTTAATCAACATAAAAAATACAGGTACAGGAATTTTTGCCATTGCGATTCGTCTCGCCTGCCCTACCGTTGTGACTGCAGGTGACGAGGTCATGACCTCAGGTAATATATGTCATCCAGAAGTTGTCACCTGTCCTGCAAGTATGTCACCTCAGATTACGTCGGCACTTGTTCTGAAAATAAGAAGAGAGAAATTCCACAGAATATCGATTCGGTTGATTCCAATTAGCCCAAACTGAAAGCAATCACATTATTCAACCAACTCTTTCATCATATACATATGCCAGGAGCTGCTATTACCCTTCAAAATTGCTGGGGGTTATTCAGATTTAGGATACGCTTTATTTAAACACGTTAACCAAAATTTAAATTGTTAAAAAGATTGATCAGAATTTCAAATTAAGATTTTAGGTATGTTGTGTTTAATTCTATATGAGGTCCGGACAGCCTAGTTAATGTGAATGATGAAATTCCTCTTTCGTGTCTATTTTATGTTGGCACGCAAACGTTGAAAACTAGTACGAAATAAGTACGTGCTTCTTAATATCATAAAGGTATTATCAAATAGGAAATTCTGGGAAACGTTTGTTGTGCATGATGTAATATGTATGCAGGAAGACTCGTTAGCTCATAAAGTGAACAATTTTATATGAAAGCAACATGTCCCTAGGGCATGCCACATTGCAAATAGAGCTTAGTGGCATTGTTACTGTCATTATAGTGACATTACAATTATGTTGCATTCAGCAGAATACTTGTTTTGTATCGATTACCAATTACCATCTTGTTTTTATTAGAAAACAAACCCGTGTGGCTGGACCGTTTCATTGTCGATATAATAAACGTCAGTATAAAATCTCAACAAGATTTGGGAGGAAAAAATAATAGGCACGTGTGTGTGTTGGAATCAAACTGCTCGCCAATGCTGGAATTTTGAACTGGTACATTTTTGTGGATTAACAATTTTCAACTTGGAGTCGCCCCTAAATATGATGATTGATAATTCATTATATTCATTCATATCATTATCTCTGTATCACTACTTCTCTACAACTCTCTCTCTCTCTCTCTCTCTCTCTCTCTCTCTCTCTCTCTGCTTTGACACTGTACTACGAAGGGTAGCACAATATCATGTCGCTTAGTCCACAACGATCTATCTTCTTAACGGAAGACATCCCGACGTCTTCAAGATACACCCTTCGGCTAGACGATAAATGACAAAACTCTGAAGATGAATCGATGCAAACAAGGACACGAAGATGAATAGTTTCATGTTTCTTATTCTCACTCAACGTAAACTGTGTGAAGATAGATAAATTATAAAAAACTCGGCCTCTGTACGGACAAATATCATGCATACACAAAGCCTCTGCAAAAATATCCACAATAATGACAGCGTCCCTGGTAGAGGGTACTGATTTGTTCAGGTACATGTAAGCCCCGTCCTAGATTTTGACCCACTTACGTCACTTTAACCCAACCTGCAAGAATCTAATGACGGGCGGATTCGCTGTTACACAGGGTAGGTTCTCTGTTTTTTTGTTATTTTTCTACCGATTCCTACTGGAATATTGTTTGTTTATTCCTGTCGTTGGATCTGTGAACGAGAGCTACCCTCGGAGCTTGTGTGACATTACCTTTGTGGCATATATATGTAATCTGACGACACGAAGAGCAATTCTTTAAATATCATGTTGCAATACAAAACGATAAATCTTCTTCATTTTTCCCTTTTGGAATCTGTTTAAGTGTAAATAATATCGGAGGTAAGCTGATCACCCGCTATTTTTTATGGGGGGTTTTTTAAGTGTAAATGATATAGGTTGTAGGCTGCTTCCCGCCTCGCCTCCCAAGGAAAAAAGTTTAACGAGGTGCATCATTAGTCACGCACAAAAATAGGCTAGAATAGACATTTATGGAAGGTGGATCTCCTGTCGGTCTCCAGCCATCGGTCGTCGAGGTATGTGCGAGCCTAGGCAAAAATCATTGGCTCCTGAACACGAGCGGGTCGGAAGTAAATCGGTCCAAAATTTGAGTTGTCTAAACGGGCCTCTGCCTTTCTGTGTAAATTTTCTTTTAAGGTTAAGAGAAGTCACTTCCGTAAGGAGGTTGCGTATTATAAAATGACAACACACTCAATGTTGAAAAAGAATCGAGCTTTTGTTGATCAACTGTGTGTATTGCTTTCATTTTCCTTCCTCTTTTATGTCCAGCGAACACGGCGCGCTGTAAGCTGAGCTATCGGCATTGTGAGGTCACAATTAGCAGCACAACTCGTTTATCTCATTTGTGACGAAACAAAGTTAATTTTCATTGTACTGTTCTCATAACTGCACTTGCTCAGTCATTGTAAAACTCCCGGTTGAGGACTTCAGCTGGAGAAATATTATTTTTTGACATAGTTTTGATAAAAAAAAAAAAATAAATCGCCAATAAGTCCTCCCCCTTATTTCTAATTATGGGAAAATGTACAGCTTATAGCTCGATTTCAGCAAAAATCGGCTGATGTGTTTACTCTTTACCCATTGTGTCTAGCTTTAGATTGAGCTTTACACTAGAAATGTTTTTGTTTGTTAGTTTGTGTTTGTACATGTACATTTTTCGGGTGCTGAGGTACTGGTATAAAATTTGTACCATGTGTGCCTAGCTTTAGGGGTGAATCCAGGCCCTCCCGAAATGTCCTCAAGACTACGAACTAGAGACAATCGTATGTTATATGTAAAGAACAACAATCAGAGCGAGATCACATAAAAATGATGAAGATGTCAAAGTGGGGCATGCCTCAAATGTTTTATGAGGAGTAAAAAGGGAGACTTTGTGTGCGGTTCAGATCCAATTGCAGATATCATTTTATTACAGTGAGTTTTGAAAAATTATTTTTTGGTGAAACCATGATGGATGTGCGTTGAGGTAAAAGAGTTGGCTGTTTTCGACGTCGTCAAAAAGCACTTCTCTTGCCGGAGAAGATATTTTTGTATGCCATTAAAACTGTTGGTGTTATGGTTTATTTGGAAATGAATGAATGCCCTGTTTAAATTAAATGTTAGGAATTTGTGACATATTTCTTAGATCGGATGATAAATGAAATAAAAAATGAAATTCAAAGGTAGCAATTAAAGATTAGATTAAATTTAGTTTTGGCTAGTTTTAGGAGATTAAAGTGGACATAAAGGGATTAACATTAGTCAGTCGTGGGAAATAGAGAAAACGTCACGTTTGACCGGGAGAGTTCCTTTCGATATTACTACTCTAATACAATCATGACCCACCATCAGCTGTACGTGTCATATCCTACACGCTTCACAATTCATATACAGATCATAAAACCAACCAATACAATAGTAGGTCCAGGGAAGGGGGGGGTGGACTCTGTGGGGCATTTGTCCGCCCTCTTCTCCGAACCTTCTCCCTCTCAGCAAAAGGTATTGGAAATGAATTGCGACGAAAGCAAGCATTTCTTTCCATCCATGTGCCTTTGTTGTTACAATTAAATAGTCCTCGTCTACTGTTTTGTATTTGCTGAGGAAAGAAAAAATAAAATAAAATAAGAAAAATAAAAAGATAAATAAATAAAATGAAATATCCTTTAGCTTCCCCTCCACACACACACACACACACACACACACGCACACACACACACACACACACACACAGCAAAATCATAACTAAGCCGGTGGTGCATCCATCGTATGTTGCATAGTCTAATTATTAACCATTAAGTGCAACATTAGTTCCTGTAGGCTGTGAATTCTCATGACAGGAAATAATATCATATTGTTGTAATTATTCGAATACATACCTAACTGGCCACCCATCTTTGATGCCACCATATTAAATATGAACTGGGAAGGCAGATTAACGACAAACCTTCTCAATTAATTACTTATCAAACACGATTCCCGCTGGGAGAATACATTTTTAATAATTGAGGAACGCGTCCGGTTGCCTTCGGGTCATGCCATTGACGAGCAAAAGTGGCGTTTTGCCTGATGGTCGATGCAGGGTCACGATGACACTAGAAATGGATTTGTTTGCTAGTTTGTGTTTGCACATGTACATTTTTCGGATGCTCAGGTACTGGTATAAGTTTTTATGACTAGGTTTATTTACTCCCAGTTACAATATTTTCCTGCGAACACTTAAAAAAGTATTGTTCTTTTTACATTTAAAAAGATAAAATGCTATGATAATAATCTGTAAACTTAGGTATGCAGAAACAGAAAAAGTGGAACTTTCTACTTATGCCATCGTAACCCCTTCTCTTTTTCTCTCTGCATAGTTGGTTCTTATTATATTGATAGGCTCAATTCTGTAACCAGTTCTGTAGCATAAATGTCATAGCTATAAATTATTTCAAATATATTCTACAACCAACCTATAGTTGAAAACGTGTATTAACTGCGTCACAATCAGACGCTCAGATATGCTTTTGACGGACATTTTGGAAAATGGGTCACGTGTGTGTGTGGGTCATTAGGTGCTGGTTCCATTTCTAAAAATTCTAGTACATTTATCTGCGTTTGAGCTTTATTTTTTACTTTAACATCTTTACTACGCATGCAACATGGTGATTTTACACAGTGACACGTACGTGAGTACACAATGCCACTTTAGTTTGCACTTTTTGTCCTAGTATACATTTATTTCTTCATCTCTCGAGCTGTATGTCTCTAATGTAAAAAAGAAACATTAAGTGGCGCCCTTTTCTAAATCACCCGTTACCTTGTTGAATAGAACACAGACAATGTGTTTTTAATGTTTTATAATGAGTTGACCACCAGTGATATTGGTGACACAGTGTCCAACGGTTCCTTCACTTCTGTGCGCCTTATAAACTACAGCAGTCCTAACAGTACCTTGACACTCAGGGTACAGGACACTAACACAACCTGTATGATTATATACGTCCATATAGTAGCAGGTACCCCAACTCTTTCTTTCTTCGGTTGTGTGCGCCTTCTGAACTACAGCACCCTGATACTCGGGGTGTGGAATTGTAGAGTTAGCTATCTATATTTAGTAGTACATTGTAGGTATCCTTGTAACCTCTCTAGCTTAACAGTCATTAACCCCTCATTGCCTGATATTGCTCATTTCTAATCAACTAAAAATATGTTACAATCAGTCAACGAAAGAATAAATGCATGATGTGCATAAAAAGTAAACACACACACACACACACACGAAAAAGCTATGAAATCAGGGTCCTATCAAGGCCCTAATTTTTCCATTACCAGTAGCGTAGTACATTATCAAATAACATCAGTGAAGGTTCAATGAATGCAGTCAGGCCGGTTTTAGTCGCCGTATCCCCGCCTGGGGGCGCCTCAGACCGGTCTTGCATACGGAATTAACAGCCCGAAGTGGCTCAAACCCTCCCTCTCGCCGCCTCTGTCTCTCTCGTGTTAACCGCACCTGGTTTTGTTAACGTATTTATTTTTTGTTGATTGTAGAATCCGGCACCAGTCAGTCGTTCATACCGAGGACCCACTGTTCCACAAGAAGGGTAAGTACTGAAATTATTTTCTGTTCACTATTTCTGCAATATTTGTCACTTTTTAGGTTAGATTTCAAAAACGGTGTTAAGCTGTCAGACGTAAGATGAAGCATATGCGTGTTTTATTATAGCCACTCACGACAATATGTGCGCGGTACTTTCTACAACCAACATAACCCTGTTTACAGAGTTTATGAAAAGAGAAGATATACATGTACAATATTGAGTAACACGGTGCATTGAAGTCTTTAACGTGTGTTTGTGAATCATGTGTCGTGTTACTCGTTTAAAGCGAGGGGATCCCATTAAACTGACCCTGAAATTGCCGCCAGTCGTCATTATAGAAATTCACAAATGCTAATAGGATATTTATCTCAGAGTCGAAATGATTCGGAATTGGTGTGTTTAGATGTTACTTTCAGTGAACATATAGACAGCAATTCTTAATCCATTTTGTCCCAGGCAAGCATCTATCGGTCATGGCACATACGACTATTTCTGCTCCTCATCTCCCAATTCATTTAAAAGCCATTCACATATATCTATGACCGGTCATCAAAACGTTAATGTCCAGTCGCTCTTAATGTCGACACCCTTTAGAGGGTTTAATGTCCTCTTCACCCGTCTGCGGCTTCACACCTGTGTATTATTTTAAACTTTAATTAGTCTCCTATGAACCTTTTCAATTAGATGCCTCTATTTTCAAAATGATTTGAAAATAAAGATGCAAATTTAATAAGAGATAGTAGAAATATAGAAGTGGCGAGATTTTTTTTGCAGTGAATTTCGTATACCCCCCCCCCCCTCAAAGCTGCCCACACCGCCACTTCATGCCCCCGGGGAGACTTTTCAACAAAACCAGCTAGTTCAGTTTTATATATTCTGTTTTGCAGGTGTCATAAACCGTTGTTATCGTGTGTTTTTTTTTAAATGTAAGAATACAAAAGTCTTCATTATCAATGTAAACTCCAGTTTTACGCCCCCGAGGTGAGGGGCGTTATGTCGGCACCTTTGATGTGTAAGGTGATTCATACATGATGGAAGTTTTTACTTGTAAAAAAAAAAAAAAAAAAAAAAACAACAGCGAACCTTGTTCTCATAAACTTTTGCTTCTTCTGGGAAACGTGAGGATTATTTGATTATTTTGTATCTACATACATTGTATAAAAAGCAGGTAAAATCTATAGTAAATATAAGGTAATCTCCCAGAAGCATTCCCTATTGAAGATTTCGATCACTGAAGTCCGTCTCCGAAGCTTTTTATAATGCACCACTACACGTACGTGTGCATGTAGATGTACTTTTTACACTCTAACATGCAATTGGGGCGTGTGGTTATGCACAAAACGTCTTGTTGCTTTATTATACATAGTATTTGAGAAACAAAATCATATCGCGTGCAGTGACCTGACTTTTAAAGACAAGTCGTCATACATGTAGATTCCACTTTTGACTCTGAGTCTTGTGGAGGAGGAGTGTAGAGATGGATAGCGTGACAGGAGTGCAACTTGTGATGAATATATAATTATACATTCATGCTATATCACTGTAGTTCCAAAATTGTTTTCAAGCTCTAGTTAGCACGATCGGCTATCAGACCATAAATAACATAGCTTATCTAGGGTTGTGTGATATTGCACTCTGTTCGCTAACAATTAGGGACGTAGGCACAGAAATCAGATGTCTATTTTCATATGTTATTTATCGACATTTTGCTGAGAGAGAGAGAGAGAGAGAGAGAGAGAGAGAGAGAGAGAGAGAGAGAGCGCAAACAGATGACAACATAGAATCCAAAATTTCCCCAAATATAACTCTTTTCTTTACTCCACAATCTAGTGCAAATCAGGCCAAAGTAAGTTTGGATGTAATGTTAGAGCACATTCCTTCCAGTCTCGCGCCTAGCCTTAGCAACAGCCCGTCACCTAGTAACCTTACAGGTGTAACGCGCGCATGCCAGAACTCATTGCATTTTCACCTCGGTCGACCTTACACGCGCGATAGAGTGGCACTGACCTTACTGGGTCTGACTGGAATTTCCTTGGTTAATTTCATTTCGTCACGGTACATGTGCATATGCAATTTATATATAAAACGCCTGGAAAAAGTGAACGAGAGAAAATTTGTCTGTTATTAAATTATTTGTACAAGGTATATATAATTGACTTTAATGGAATATTCGAATATCTTGGGCATTGAACTTTATATTAATAAAATCCTAGAAATTTTTAAAAAAGTAGAAAGGCATATTTTTGGTCAAATAAGCATATGCGAGCTCTGTAAGTTAACAGTATAGTTGTATGGC